CAGCATCCTCATCAGCACCGTCCTCAACATCGTCATCATCATCGTCGTCGCCGATGAAATCAGCATAATCAGAACAATCATCAGCATCAACAACAGAGTCATCATCATCAGCATCTGCATCATCGTCATCAGCATCAGCAACAGCATCATCGTCATCATCTTCATCAACATCGTCGCCGTCGTCGTCATCATCGTAATCATCATCATCATCATCAGCAGCATCAGCAGCATCAGCATCGTCTTAGTGAAATTCTGAAATTGTTAATCGTCAGATTCTCTTCATTTTCTGCATCATCATTACCAGCAGCATCATCATCAGCATCAGCATCATCCTCATCTATGTACAACCAACATCATTAGCAGCAGCATCAGCATCAGCACCATGATCGTCATCGCCATCGCCATCATCAGCAGTAGCATCAGCACCGGCATTATCGTCACACTCAGCCGCATCATCGCTGTGATTCATCAACCATTATTCTTCATTCCTCAGCATCATCACCCATATCAGCATCACCAACATCACCATCATCAGCATCATCATCATCCTCAGCTTCATCAGCATCAGCATTAGCATCCGCAGCATCACCATCATCATCATCATCATCATCATGAACAGCAGCAGCCGCATCAGCGTCAGCATCACCCTTGTCAGCAACCTCAACAGCGACAACCACAACATATTAAGACTCTTCGCTCTGATCTGCCCGTGTCCCATTCAACACGTGTATACCAAACCCTCGATACCCGCCCTCGTCTTCGACCGTACCCCCCTTGTGGCATATTTTCCCTACCTGCCGCGTGTAGCTGGCGCAGCCGCTAAAACACAGGAAGGAAGGACGTAGGGAAGAGAGGAGGAGGAGGGAGAAGGATGGAGCACGAGAGAGATTTGCAGGAGTGTTGGGAGCAGGAGTACAAGCAGCAGAACCAGACGGACGGGTCGGGCGGGCGAACCCTGACGGGCGGGTCAGGTCGGGCGGGCGGGCCCAGACGGCCAGGTCGAGCGGGCGAGTCGCTGAAGCGTCGATCCTACGTGAATCGCAAGGAGGTTCAGAGCGATAGCGCGATGCCCAAGTAAATCATCAGAAAATCCACAGAGATAGCGTGACCTGAGTCCAGGGGGCACAGCACCGCAATGAAATTGCGAGGAAATACCACGCGAGAGCGCGACTCCTGTATGAATTGCAAGGAAATCCCGCGCGAGAGCGCAAATTTGAAATAAGCGCTAGAGCGCAAATTTGAAATTTGAAATCAGGCGGGGGCCGCTGTTGTTGCACACCAGGGGCCAGCAACGCAATGTGTGGACCAATACTTTCCCTAATAAAGGCCTGGCGAGAGTCCCGGCAGGAGCATTTTAATTCAAGAATACAACGTGCACTGGAGGGGGGGATCAACACCACTTATCTTCAAGAAATCAGAACTCAGCAACAACAACGACGACGACAACAACAACACAACAACAACAGCAACAGCAACAGCAACAGCAACAGCAACAGCAGCAGCAGCAGCAACAAACAACAACAACAACAACAACAACAACAACAACAACAACGACAACAACAACAACAACAGCAACAACAACAACAACAACAACCATTTTAAGGCTGTACGCTCTTACTTGCCCGCGAGTCATTCAACACGTATACCCTACACCCTCGATACCCGCCCTCTTCGTCTTCGATCACACCCCTTTCGGGGGGATTATTTCTCTTTGCTGGGGCCGGCGGGCTTAGACGTACGGGCAAACCGGAACGGGCGGACAATCCTTCGGGGGCGTACATCTCTCTGCCCGCCATTGGAATTGGCGCGGGCCCTGCAAGAGGAGGAGGGGAAGAACGAGGGAGAGTGGGAGGAAGGGGAGGGGGAAGGACGAAGGAAGAGGGAAGATACCACGTTGTGAAGGCGTCCTTGGCGCGCGCGTGGTTCCTGAGCGCCGAAACGCAATTCCAGAATAATTTGTGAGGACGTCGCACGCGAGAGCGCAGTCCTGAGTACATTGTGAGGAAATCTCAGGCGGAAGCGGGGGCCCTGACTAAGTTGCGAGGAAGTCTCAAGCGGGAGCGCCGTTCCTGAGCAAATTGCACGGAAGTCTCAGGCGGGAGCGGGGGTCCTCACTAAATTGCGAGGAAGTCTCAGGCGGGAGCGCCGTTCCTGAGTCAATTGCGCGGAAATGTCAGGCAGGAGCGGGGGTCCTGAGTAAAATTCGAAGAAGTCTCAGGCGGGAGCGCCGTTCCCACGTAAATTGCACGGAAGTCTCAGGCGGGAGCGGGGGTCTTGATTACATTGCGAGGAAGTCTCAAACGGGAGCGCCTTACAACAACAACAACAACAACAACAACAACAACAACAACAACAACAACAACAACAACAACAACAAAAACAACAACAACAACAACAACAACAACAACCACAACCACAACCACAACCACAACCACAACCACAACCACAACCACAACCACAACCACAACCACAATCACAACAAGAGCAACAATAATTGACCCTCATGCGCGATGTTTCCACACGAAGCATGCGACCATCATGATAACTATGCCCATCATGGGGGACTAGTGTTCTATAGCGGGGTC